AATAGGTTTAAAAGGAACTTAAATTTGAACCTAAGTTATAACTGTCTAGGTTATTGATTGGACGTATTTTGTGCGATCGTTTTCTCTCACAGTAAATATTGAGTGAGCTGATGTTGATTGTACAACAAAATTCAGCCATGTTAAACATTTTAAAAACACTATTTCTATTACAAAGTACTTAATATATATTATTAATATCAACATTTATATACTATACATGTTGAACAATCATCAGCTCACATGAACTATTAATACTTTGTATCATGTGTATTTCTTTTAAATGTTGTTTATGCAGGTTGTTGTTGCTGGAAATATCTTCTGATGTTTACATGCAACAACAGCAACTTGTTTACTGTAAACTATAGTAGTCAGTGTCTTCGTGTAGCAGGGCAAAAAACATTTGGGTACACTGACGCATGAAATCCAATAATGTACTCGTACGTAAAAGAAAGCATGTCCTCCCTATTCAACGATGTCTAAGATAATATTTTGATACGGATGGAGATGTTGATGATGATTTGGTTTTATGTCCTCAGGGTAAATTCACCACGGCCAGCGATGTGTGGGCGTTCGGCGTGACGCTGTGGGAGATGCTGAGCGTTTGTCAGGAGCAGCCGTACTCCAACCTGACCGACGAACAAGTTATCGACAACGCCGGGGAGTTCTTCAGAGACCAGGGCAGACAGGTACTCACGCCTTTTTAGAATACTGTAGGTCATCACGTGTTTATACAGTTAAAACCACAAACGTGTGCCTTCTGAGGCTCCTTCCTCCTTCAATTTTCATAAACAAACTCTATTTACATATGTAATCACTAAGGCCCTCTAGTGGCTGATCTGTGCCACACTTCATATGTATCAGTTTGAGCATAGAGAATAGTTACGGCCCGTCCACACTACAGCTTCGACAGCTTCAAAAACGGTTTCCAACGCGTCTGCCCATTCACTTTGAATGGGGTGACGTCATGTTGCCTCGCTTTTCGCCGAACTGAATTGTGGGTAGCATAGCGGTCCGTCTCTGGCTGCAGAAGTTGAACAATGTAGCCGGAGACGCCGGAGTAGCCAGCGCCAGCCAATTAAAATCCAGTTTCTGAAAATCTGACAGCTCAAGTCCTAGCCAATCAAACCGCGTCTAAGCTGGGAGAGATATCCCGCCGTTCATTTCTATATTTCAGAAAAAGCGTTCATTCAAGTGATTGGTTGTTGGTCGCGGTGCTCGAATAAAATCCCCAAGCTTCAGACACGCCCAGCTCCAAGCTTTTTTTGAAGCTGTTGTGTGGACGGGCCGTTACAGTAACACATAGTTATTGTGACTATTCTTAAAACCAATTTCAGAGACAAGGAACATGTATGGTCCATCTTTAATTGTTGCACTTTGTTCATGCCATTTTACTTCTTCAATATTTGCCTTTTTCAAACTTGAGGTTTGCTATCATTTGATTTGATAGTCTTTCTAGCATGTGTTTTTCTTGTTACTTGATGGAGTGCATATTGCTGACGTATGTAAGATTTCTTATTTTGTTTAATGCTGCACCAAAATTGCCCACTGACATGAATAGGTGTTTAATTCACTTATATTTCTGAATCTGACAGATTTATGATTTTTTTTTAAATATACATTTAAATAAACTTAGGTCTCAGTCACCAAAAAGTCCCAACGTTCACACACCTTTCCCCCCCCCCTCTCCTGCAGGTGTTTCTGAGCAGGCCGGCTGTGTGTCCTCAGGGTCTCTACGAGCTCATGTTGAGCTGCTGGAACAGGGACTGCAAACTCCGTCCGTCCTTCACAGACATCCACTCCTTTCTCACCGAGGACGCCATGAACATGGTGTAGAGAGAGAACAGGCTGCAGTGGGAGGTGTGGTGGAGGCAGATGAGAGGGAGAGTGGGTTGCTCGCTTTTATATTTGTACTTTTTTGGGTGGATGGGGCTGAGACGCCGCTGGTTCGGTTTATTTCCACATCAGACCCCCAACCCCAAATGCAAAACTAACCAAGCTTTGGATTGGTAACGGTCCGCGCTATATTTCACTGGTGGTGGGTGCAGTCTGCATAGGAACTTTCTCTCTTCTCAGATACTTTAACATAAAGCAGGGTGTGTGTGCCTGGTGATTAAGTGCTGTAGAGTTAATAATACAGGAAGCTGTAGGCAGTAAATGACTCATAATACTACAACCATAGCAAGCTAGGACATTAACATGAATTAAGTTTCATGACTTATTTTATCTCATATTCTACTTACAGGGTGACAGGTAAAGGTGCACACAGCACACCTATTGTTGGGACATGAAAGTGAAGACACAGGATTTGTCTTAGTATGTATGGTATACTTTACACATTTTTGTCTAAATCAGAAATATATCAAGGCCTCAGCCCCTTTTGCCCATCTGAGACAACCCACTAGACCCACTAAAAGACGAAAAGTGAACATGAGATATATGAGAGTCACCATGTTTGTTGACCCTTGTGACTCAAAGTTTTTCTGGACTTATATGAAATGATGTGGACCAGACGCCAGCAGCCCCCTTTCTAAAATGTGATAAAGTCAAGTTTTCTCCCCTGATTTTAGTCGTAAAAAACTTTTAAAACCCAATCTGGGAAACAGGACTGTTACCCTGGAGCCAAATGGACTTAAGGCACAGAAGAGGAGGGTCTGTTGCTGCCGAAAAACTTGGACGGCTTTTTTTCCGAGCAGAGAGACGATACTGTCGAAGGGACATCTCCTGAACCTCCTGCTCAGGTGTTTTCGGCAATATTTGTGGCTGCGACCCAGACACATGTAAAATTCCACAACCAGCTGCACTTTAAATCCCACATGCATATCAGTGGCCGTGATTAAACTCTTTTCTATGAGTGGCCCGATATGATTCCTGTCGATGTGGATTCTAATGCATTTCACCTGCAGTGATTTCCCTAAGGGAGATTAACATTCAGGACACTGGCCGTTTCTCAATCGCGAGGATGCTTGCTTGGTAGCACATGTCTTCCGAGTCACTTCCTTCAGAAGCTAAGCAAGAATCCTTCCTGGCATTCGGAAAACGAAGAGTGGAACAGGCTAGCAAGTGTGCAGGTGTGCGTCATGTGAGAGGCCCCGCCTTCCGCCACAGATTTGGGGAAATTGGTCCGTGCGCAAAGCATTGTGGGGATTTTAAGGACGCGAAGTCTACCCATGTGCAGCATCGAAATTACCCCCAAACCAAGGACGCGGCCTCGGTGGAATTCCAAGTATGCTGGAGATTGGAACAGTCCTTCGGCGGCACTCGATGACGTAGCATCCTTGAAATATTGGCTTGGAAGCCAGTTTCCTCGAGATTGAGAAACGGCTGGAGTCTGCCTTGTTAAATCCCCCCTCCCCCTCTACAAGGCATTGCCAAACCATGAGATGTAAAATATTATTTAAAAAATGGAATGGCACCATCGATTCATCTCATCTCAAATGTATGAAAGCCTTTATACGGCGCGTTGAGACGTTTTTACTCCTCCAATAACCAATCTTTGCTCATCCAAATGCATTACTGTACTCAGTTTCTACTCAAACAGGGAATCATGGGAAACCTGATTTTCTTTTTTTTTAGTGTGAATGTCAACATCAACCTCCGCATTAGTACCTTAAGCTGACCGCAGTAGAATCAATGCCATCTACCTTACTGATTGTTAAGCACTGTAAATCAGTCCTGAGATGATCAAGTAAAACATGTTTACTGATCGTGAATGCTTGTGCCATTTGAGTGATTTTTGATACACTGTAGTTCAACTAAACCAATATTTTTATATATACTGTATGTACTTGGACACTCCTTGATGTCTGATTTTGTCCTTTTTGTGTCTTTCGAGGTGGAGCATAATAGTATGTACATATTTTAAGGACAGAATTGTAATTTCCTTTACTAATATATGGAAAACTCTTTGTTACATTTGGGGTCTTCTGTATCTCTGTAGAACGCTTGCTACCTTGATGCTATTGTAATTAATCGTTGTCTATTTTTGTAGATGTTTTAATAAAGTTAACCTTTTCAAAGAAATGAACATATGCTTTACAGATGTGACTCGTTTTTTTTTCAGTTTGGTTAAAGGGGCCCTATTATGCAAATATGATGTGCCTCTCCTGTGACATGTCTCCATGCTTTAATGTTCAAAAAGCTCTTTATTGTTCTCATACTGCCTGTGCTGCAGCACCTCTTTTCACCCTCTGTCTGAAACCAGAGCCCAGTATGCTCTGATTGGTTGGCCGGCTCTGTTTGTGATTGGTCAACCGCTTAGAGATGTCCCGCCCCTTAGCCGATCACATGTTGGAGCGTGAGTGTTAATGTTGTCTAGTCTGCTCCATATGTTCATAAATTAGATTTAATGAAGTACTTTGATGTTAAATCACCCAAGTTCCCCTCAGCAAAAACACATCTGTTTGCTATCCTAGCTCAAATGGTGGAATGAGCTCCCCATGGACATCAGGACAGCAGATAGCTTACACATCTTCCGGTGCAGACTGAAAACTCATCTCTTTCGACTCCACTTCGATCGATAGAATTATTAACAAAGCACTTCTAACAAAGCACTTATATACTAATAAAAGGACTGGCTTATCTAAAGCCAGTTGAGTAGCACTTGAAATGTTTTGGCTCTATGAAACCTGATGCACTTATTGTAAGTTGCTTTTCATAAAAGCGTCAGCAATGTAATGTTAAATGAAACAAGCGGCAAAAGGCTTCAGTGATTAAACCATACTTTATTGTCTACATAAACATTTCACTACAGATAAATCTCAAATATTTAACTTGTATACAAGTTCATATAGTAACTACTTGTGTCAACATAAAGTAGAGACATGCATCAACAAGTTAGGAAAGTAGAAGATTAGTCACAAGAACATACAATAGAAGTAGAGTCTGATTTGGCTTTAATCTGCAGCCCTCGCTAGTGGCGGCCAATGGCTTCGGATCAGATATGAGAAAAGATTCCCTGACAGAGAAGTGGAATTTAACTTAATAAAGTTAAGTTTAGACTGTTGAGTTAGGAACAGGCACTTGGCGGTAACAAAATGCATATGGCATGGCAGCTGGAAAAAAATGGACTGTTAAGAGACGAAGCTCCAGATCGGAGGCGCTAACTAACACCTTTCAACATGCAAGAGCCAAAGTTTGTTAAGATCTATCCTACACAGCATCATTTTGCAATGGAAAATCACTACACAAAATAAAAACACACTATCTCAGTTCAAACTCTAGGCAGTATGCACATAAAGCAGCAGGCTGTTAGAGATGAGCACACTCTGTTTTCCCACCACAACATACTTTCATAGCCTTCACCTGGAAACCCCTTTAGCTCGTTACCATCAACCACTTCCTTCCTCTTCATTCTGAAACACAACATTATTCCACTGATATGATTGAGCACGATTAAGACGTGTAGTAAACTATCGACAACTTTGTCTCGTTAGCGGACAAAGCGGGATGAGTGATGGGTCAATTATTTCGAACTACAGCAACAATATACCCAAACACACAACTATGAGGTGATAAAGAGCTCGGCACCATTTACTTAATTTAAAAGGCACAAACAAGCTACAGCCATAAATATCTTCTATATTAAAAAACGATTGACCTATATATAATTCAGCTAGTTGCCGTTTGGATTCAAAATAAAAACTTGCATGGCCAAGTATATTCCAACTGGGAGGCTTTTCTCTCCCGGTAAAAAATAAAACCTTTTATTTAAAAATCGCATCCCCTTGAAACTGCTTTGCCGTCACCCACAGCAGAAAGCAGCTCAGACCAGGGACATGGAAAGAAACCACATAAAAAAAGTCCTGTTTAGATGGAAGAGGAACTGGAAACAGGACACAGAAGTGAAACATGCACACACACAGACGACGGGACGAGACTGCAGAGCCGGTACAGTGGTTATAGGCACGAGGAGGAGACGTGGAGCTCCTAGTCTGGATATCTGATGATTACTCCCATTCCTTCTCTTCTTAATACACAGCTGATCCAACCTGCAAATCAAAGAGAGAAACAGCAGATAATTACTAGGGGTGGGGGAAATGGCGTGGCGATATTTTATTATACAAACTATTCATATTGTAAATCCAAATTGCTTTTTCATTCCACTAGGTGGAGTTGAGCTTTCTCTTGTGCGGTCATGGGTAAAGTCAGTGGGCTAGGCCAAGCCCCCTGGAAGTGCGCCGGACTCTGAGGAAAATATTCGTTGTGGCCAAACGGCGGTACTACACTTCCGTATCAGTTGCTGGGCCCGGAAAGACTTTCCCATTGACTGACACTCGGAAAGAGACGTCTGTAAATGGCTGGATATTTTTTTTTAAACTCAATAAACTACCCAGTATGAACATTCGTTATTAAAAACATTCGGTCCTCAAGTTGTAAAATGTGCTAATAACGTTATTCTGAGAGTTATTTTCCTCGGCATTATGAACGCGGATCTAACCCACGAGTTTATCCTTTACCCATGGATGCACAATAAGAACGGATTATATGAATACTTTCGTGACGTTTTGCTCAAAAGTTGGGCCATTTTGTCTTCATGCGCCAAAAATATTTTGGATTTTTTAACCAGGAAGGGAAGACACAATCGCAGTATATCGTATCGTGGAGAGCCTGGCGATTCCCACATGTGACTCTCACAAGATGAGCTCCAGTTTACCTGAGAGATGCGGACTCCGGTGAGTTTCTCCACGGCTAGCGGCAGCCTGGTCATGATATCCAAAACCTCTCCGGTCAGTTTGGCCGCTCCCACCTCTCCGTTGCCGCTGGAAACCATCGTGATCTTCCGAGCCTCCGACAGGGGCTTACTGATGGCCTCTGCAATCTGCAGGACAAGAAGGGAAAGGAGAATTAATGCTGAGAAGGGGGGATCGAAAGGTTGACAGTCTAGATTTAGCAAGAGCACATATGAAGAAATTATACTCAATTCAGAATAATATATGTTGTTGGATTGATTAGAGTCATGGATTAGAATGTTTTTAACTTTTTATGTATAAAAAAAGTTTGAAAACTACAGAAATCAGGAATTATGGCAGAGATTAAGCTTCGTGATATTAAGAGCCACAAAACTTCATTGCAATAAGTAATTTGTGAAAACGAAATGTTACTTTGTCTGTTTGAAATTCTAAAATGCTTAAAGGTTGCTAAATTATGAAACAATATAAAAAATTATGTTTTTATTAAGCTGTGTGTGTGTGTGTGTGTGTGTGTGTGTGT